TATCTTATAACATAATCAGACTACCTTGTAGCATAGTCAGACCATCTTATAACATAATCAGACCACCTTGTAGCATAGTGAGACTATCTTATAACATAACCATAACACCTTGTAGCATAGTCAGACCATCTTATAACATAATCAGACCACCTTGTAGCATAGTCAGACTATCTTATAACATAACAAACACCTTGTAGCATAGTCAGACCATCTTATAACATAATCAGACCACCTTGTAGCATAGTCAGACACTCTTATAACATAATCAGACCACCTTGTAGCATAATCAAACTATCCTGAACATACCACATTGTAACATCATCAGACCGCATGATAACGAAATCAGACCATGTTCTAACATAATCTGACCACATTGTAACACAATCAGACCATATTGTAACATAACCACACCATATAACACATTCAGACCAGAATGATCCGTTCCCACAGCATAGTACACTGTAGATTCCCATACTGTTCTTATATACTATCCATAGACTTTCAACACCTCATTGTCGAATCAGTCAGTCTCGTAAAAGAGGGTACCTTTCGGACTTGCAATCTCCTCCCCATATAGTAGTACTTCTACATCTTTATACATAAATTCGGTCAGAAAATATCCCCAAGACCATACAACACTCCGTCCTCCGCAACGATACAGCTCGTTCTGTGTTAAAAATTAAGTACCTGACTGCGAGTGGCCGGGTTGTGACACACTGTTGTCAGTGCCTGCGCGCCCATTGGTTGAAGGGTATTCGCGCCCTTCCAGCAGCCGAGCTTGAGAATTTTTCTTCTGCATCGTCTGTGGGTGAAACCCAGGGGAATGTGGGAACAATGAAATGAGAAGCAGCTGAATGGCAGGCATTGGTGGGCCAATGGATGAAGACACAAGTGGGTGAGAAAATAATGAAATGGCCAGAAAAATAACGGCATGGAAGTGGCGGGAAAATAATGAAACAAAATGACGGGTAAAAACTTCTACCGGTGAGCAATGGATAAAGTAGCGAGTACGATATCAATTGAGCAAAGTGTACAGTGGTAGGGAAGTATTGTGATGTGATGGTGGGTGTATAATGTGGTGCTCAATAGGTCTGGTAATGACAAGTATCTTAGACAAGCGAACGTTAGAGGAGATGGCAGTGTGTGACCTCTGATACAACGTCTTTGTATAGAGTGCACTATACCACGCACTGCCCCGGAGTATCGATGCGCACGCACGCGCGTGTCTATTTATAGATATGCAGACATACCTACACAAAATACAATCCCCCTACCCATGCCATGCACTTGTCACACACCTTGGCAGAAACTTGGGATGTACGCCTGCGATAGGGTGGCTTGCCCTCTGTGCTCTGCTGGTCCACCATAATGGTCTTGATGCGTGCTTTGTAGTCCAGTTCACTGACCTGTGTCGGTGATGGTTTAGTAGTCGCATGTGTGAATAATTGGGAAGCCTGAGCACATGTATACACCTGCATACACGCACACACACACACACACAACACACATATATATACATACATACATACATACATACACACACACACACACAGACGCACACACATA